GTATTAACTATTTTATTAGGAGATTTATTTTTATTTCAATTGAGCTGAGCAAGTTAGCCTTATCAAGTCGGTTTATGGTATTATTGGAAATCTTTTGATCTACTATTAGAATACCTTCTGATATTTCATTCCATATTGGTTGTTAGACGGTCCACCATAGGAATACATATATGTATTTGTAATGTTTCCATTCCCATCCTTATATAGAGGGTGTGTGAAGAACGTGTTAGTTATTTTGAAATTGTGTTTTTAATAGAACCTATTCCTAAAATCTCAAAATATTTGGTAAACATTAAATGGGCGCTACATTGGTAAATTTGAGAGGAATATTTGCTATAAAATCAAAATGTCGAATTACAGACAAATCAGGCAAATCAGGCAAACAAAAAATACCCGGTATCGGCTATACCTAGGAATACACCAATAATAACTTTTTGGTAGGGAGATTCACCACCTAATCAGAATCAAAAATATAAATCCGATATGTAAATTAATTTTGGTAGGGAGATTTCATTGGAGATTCAGTATTCAACAAGGGCTTTGAGTTAAATTTCTTTAATTAAACTCGATAATTGCCAGCACTTGTATTATTTTGCTGCGGAATATAGTCTTCGATTATAAGTTAAAAATAATTCCAAGTTCTAATTCCATAGGGGATGTAGCTCAGTGGTAGAGCGCTCGCTTTGCATGTGAGAGGCCCCGGGTTCAATCCCCGGCATCTCCAGCAAATTTTTAGATGCAATCACAGGCATCCGTAAAAAAGGTATTGTGATTAATGCAAAGAAACTTCTGTATAATTTATATAAGAGTAGTGATAATAAGGGCATCATTGCACAAATGTCCAGATTTACTCTTCCAAAAGCAATGTAACATCCTCCAAATCATATATGAAGAGAGAGGAGGTGTTCTAAGGAATTTTGAACATATATTATACAGTAAAATCTCTCTAATCCGGACAATTGATTGCAGATCCCAAACCGGATTGGCACAAATTTTACGGATTAGCGAGGTTTTTAAATTGGGTTAAATCTTTATTAATTTAGTGATCATTTAAAAAGTTGTATGTTTAAACCAGTGAGCGGAGCAGTATAGTCGGACGGGGCCGACCATATGATACCCTACACAACTTCACGAAAATCTAATTTTCTATGGTTCGATATTCTGAGCTTGGGCAATATTTAGCGATATTTGTACCCCCTTGACCGACTAGACGTCTACAAATATTACTAATATTCAGTACAGCTTTTCTAATTACTTGTCCAGATCCCCTTCACCGTGGGTTGTGTTGTGATGTCCGGCTTTCAATAGTGGCCTATAAACCGACTCATAAAAACACAAAAAATTAAGTTTTCGGGTCACTTCATCCAAATATTATTATCTGATCATCACCGAAAATTATAGGCGTTGTCCATGATCTATGTCCTCCAGGAGTAAATATATACGCCATAGAATACAAATTTTGTCATTTTCCACACAAAAGTCTGGATTCATTTGAATATTGACCAACCTTTATCAAAATAGGCATGCTTATTCTTTGGCCCGATCCCCTTCTCCACGCAAAATTCGCGGTGTTTGGGTCATAATTGCGGCCTCTGGAGCGACCAGAAAAACCGACAAAAATAAAGTTTTTGGTCCATTTCATCCCCTAAATATTAATTAATATTTTCCAAAAACAATAGGGGTCTTCATTAGCCAGAACCCATCCTACATGCACATTTCGTGAAGATTTAACTGTGGCCTGTATCGTGTTTACAAAATATAATCAACAGACGGACGGACGGACACACATGTCTAGATCGACTCAGCTAGTCAAAATATGACGATCGGTATACTTAAAGGTGGGTCTAGGACCAATATTTCGCGGCGTTACAAACTTTCGGGGCTGCACAAAGCTATAATACCCTGAAAACATAGTTGTGTAGGGTATAAAAAATTAACTTATTCATTCTAAAATTATGAACTTTCAATATAAAAAGTCGAATTTGCACTAAATTTTGCTACGATTTAAATTAAAAACCTCATAAAAAATAATTTATCTTCACAATCCGGATTTTCGAGTCAAACAATTCGGATTATACAATACGCAGAATACATGCTTTCTGGATAACACGGGTCAGCGAGGTCCGGATTATCGAGATTGGTTATTTTGTGATGAATAATTACCATAAATCGTATGAAATAAAAGGAAGCTATTTTCATTTCGAATCGATACTCGCCAATTCCCAAAGAGTTCGCTCTAGGTTCAAGTAGTGAACAGTGTCATGTTCCAAAGGATAGACAAATAGTTCTTGATAAGGACGATAATGTATTATTTCTAGGAGTTACAAACATATGATTTGTTCCCGTACACAAAACCTGGTTCAATATGATAAAGAAGAAATCGAAATACATTTATATTTATTAACGAAAATTCTTGTAATTTAGAGTTCAACAATTATCCTGTGGAGTTTAGGGTCCAATTTTTAATTTATATTAAAATCTATGTAATCATGGGGGATGTAGCTCAGTGGTAGAGCGCTCGCTTTGCATGTGAGAGGCCCCGGGTTCAATCCCCGGCATCTCCAAATATAATTTTATGCCACAGTCAAATGCAGTCTTGACAGTCTTTTCAGATTCATTATTCATTACACAGAAAAAGCTCATAAACACTCTGTCATTCTTTATATAGTTGAGTACGGTTAAAGCGAGCTCGTAGGGTCCAAGAAAATTAGTTCGTTATAGAAGATGTTCGTTAGAACCAAGGTAAGGCAAAAAAATATATATTCAGTTAGAAATTGGTAGGTTTTGTGTCCTTTTGTCTCCTTTTCTTTAATGAATCTCATATTACAGCTGACCTATTTTTTTAAAGCCGTACAGTAAAAATTAACTTCTGTGAGGTTTGTCATCGTTAAGTATTTTGTATATTTATAGCAAGTTCGTTATAACCGAATTAAACTAAATAAAAACTGAAAGATGGGATCGTTATAAAAAAAATTCTTTATATCCGTAGTTCGCTATAAGAGTAAGAATTGTAGGAAAAACGTGTCTTAAAACTTCGGGACCTGGAAATGTGTTCGCTATAAGAAAAGTTTGTTATATCCGGTGTTCGTTATAAGCCTATTCGACTTTATAAGTAAATATATTTTATAACGCTTTTTTATAAAACTCAACAAAATTCTCACACAAAATATCCCCCCATAACGAATTTTCCTATAACCTACCTAATAGTTCTCAAGACCCCCAATGAGATTTTTCAAAATTTGCATTATTTTCGGGTTTTTTATAGGGGATGTAGCTCAGTGGTAGAGCGCTCGCTTTGCATGTGAGAGGCCCCGGGTTCAATCCCCGGCATCTCCAGTAATTTTTTATATTTAGTAGATTTAAAATGAAATTATTTCGAAAAAAACATTATTGATAAAATTAGTCATCCGATCCAGTATTGAATGTCTTAATAGAGAATATTGCTGCAATCGACTAAAATTAATCATCTTCAAATTTCAACGTCTAGAACACTTTTGTGGGAAACTAATACAGTTAGCCCTCGCCACAAGATTGTGATCAAAGGTGCAACACCCAGACACATGTGTAAAGACCTAATGTACTATCGGAATGACATTTAAAACGACATTCAATCGGACATCATCCGACTACAGTATAGAAGCAGTATAGTCGGACGCGGCCGACCAAATAATATCCTATACAACTACCCTTAGCTCTAAGTTTCTGCGGATCTATATTTAGAAACTGGGGTAATATTTCGCCATTCTGCATTCTCCGAGTCATATTTCCCGGATTAAAAATATTATCTAGAAGATTCAAATTTTGTTACTTTACAAAAAAGGCTGTCATTCGAATTAGTAGGTCAGCTCGTCTTCCTCATGGAAAATTTGTGATGTTCGGCTTATAATTGTGGCCTCTAGATCGAGTAGAAAACCAGAAAAAATAAAGTTTTCGGTTTATTTCACCCTGAAATACGACCTGATTATTATCAGAAATTATAGGTCATAACCATCACTTCATGCAAAATTTCCTAGCCATCAGAGCTACATTTCCGACCTCTAGTATGATAATGATAATAGTAAACAATTCCAGTATAGACAGACCTCTGTAAATATTTATGCATAACTCCTTTTTCGAGTACAAACAACCATGTAATTTGAATCTATTTAACTGTCAACCGGTCCTCTCGGGTCTATATCCTTCAGGATTAAAAATAAACTCCATAGAATACAAATTTTGTAGTTTCTCACACAAAAGTCTGGGTTCATTTGACCCGTTAAAGATTAACCGATCTTCATCAAAACAGACATACTTATTCCATGGTCAGGCCCCATGCTGTTTGTAAAAGTTCGTGATGTTCGGGTAATAATTGTGGACTCTATAGCGTCAAAAAAAAAATAAATAAAAAAAATAAACAAATAAATATAAAGTTTTTGGTTAACCGATCATTATCAAAAACAATAGGGATATCTTTGGCCAGAACTCGTTCTACATACAAAATTTCGTGGCTATTGATACATAACAAATTATAATGGACAGACGGACGGACACACATGTCTAGATCGACTCAGTCGAGATATCGGTATTCTAAAAGGAAAGGACGACAATCCAATGAACTATGCCCAAGTAAGTTCGATTTAGAAAGTGAGTAGGAATACATAATTCTTTTATAATGTTAGAAACATTTAATTCTAATGATATACAGTTCTTATTATAAAAAAAAAACTTTGCTAGTTTATTCTGTGAGTTTGTATTGTAGATCCAAAACGAGAACATCTATTAGCAATATATCATGGACAACAATTGAATAATACACTCTTCAAATTTAAGTCGTTTTCTCATTGACAAATAACTAAGTTTTATTAAAAATTCTTTAAATTGATATAACATTCTGTTATTACTATTATTTTGTTTTCTTGTTAAATTTCTTCAGAAGATTATTTTTTATTGGTTGTTGAAGCAGCAGATCAGATAAGCAGTAACTTGAGTTTTGTAAACATGTCACAACGTCTCTTCGAACTCTATCGCTTAATCATCTTCGTCCTCATCTTCATCTTCCAGATCTAAATCATCTAATTCATCTGCTAATCCCATAAACAAATCCTTATTGATGGGAGCAGCATCAGTGGCAGGTGTGTTAGATGTTGCATTCTCTTCGGCAGCTTCTGCTGCAGCAGCTGCGGCGGCCGCTTCTGCTTCTTGTTTCTCCAATGCATCGGCTTGTTCTTGTAGACGTGTTTCAGATGCCTGTGTACCCGTTCCATCAACCTCCTGGGCGGACATTGACAGAGAAGCCAAATCCAATTCTTTGTATTCGACTTCTTCCTCTTCGTTATCTTCACGTTTGTATGTGTCGAATGCAGCATCGCCATCCTCCATTGGACCGTCATCAACCAAATCAGGATTGAAGCTGAACATTTCCCTACCGGAGATACCGAATTGTTTGCCTTTGCTGAAGTCATTCTTCTTGCGTTCCTCATCAGCAGCCATTTTATCTTTCTTTTCTTGGATCTTCCGTTTCTTCCATGCCAAAAATGTCTCCAATGTGACTTTGGTGGTATTGGGACCCAGTGCAGCTCTCTCCTTTTCGATCAGATCCACCAGCGATATTTCCGTTGGTTTATCTTCCTTCTTCTTGTCCTTCTTCAGCACATAACCCTGTGGCAGAGCATGCCGGTAAATGCATTTTTCGCCATTGGGACATTCCCAGAACCAACCGTACTTGGACTTCTCCACCGCCTCAATGAAGTACTTGCAAATAATATCAGTCGTCGGTCGTTTCTTTTCACTGGAATGTTTCTGATTGACCACCTCCTTCAGTTTGGCATCATCCCAGTTCTTCATGTCATCCTCTTCGGCATCACGCATATCCACATAGATGGAACGTTTCTCAACCTTATTTTCCACAGCCAAGTCATGGGAGAATTTACATTTGTCACCCTTGGTACATGTTCCCTGTTTGAAGAAGGCACACACCACCGATTTGGGATCTGTGCCCTTATCCACCTTTTGTACCGGTTTGAAGATCAATGCCAATTCCTTCTGCTCCTGCAATTTCTTCTCCTTTTCATCTTTCTTTTTGTTATCGGTGCGTGGATGTTGACCACCACTGTTCACCTGCTTCTGAACTTGTTGGATGAATTTCTGCTGCTTAGAACCCTTCTTGTTTTTCAAACCGAATGTCTTGTCCTCAATGACTTTCTCCTTCTTTTTCTGTTCGGTTTTCTTGCTGGTCGCCGGAGCTTTTTTTGGAGGCATATTTCAGTCCAAATTTCTTACAAAAAAAAACTCGAGTCTTAAAAAGTCTGAGAAGTTTCTATAGCTGGCTGCTGCGTGGTTGGTAATTTTGACATTTAACCATCAATGTGAAGAAATACCATCACACTGTTGCTTATTTCGATAACAATGTTTAGAGTGACATTACAGGGTGATTCAGAGAAAATTTATTTGCAATTATCACAAGGTGCAGATGTATAGTTTCTTTCAGAGAAGTGTATAACATTAAATTATCAGCCTTATTCTTGACATCAATTCACCGTGAATTTGTTAGTTTTTCGCCATTTCTCTTTCTGAATCATGTTCGAAATCGAAAAAAAATCCACTTTGTTGGAAATTTAGTGATTATGGAATACTCCCTGTATTCTCTAATAAATTTAAAGAGACTACAAAAATATAAGTATAAACCAGTAAGGAAAGTAGTAAAGTCGGACGGGGCCGACTATATGATACCCTTCACCACTATGGGTATATTAAACAGGACTATTAGCATGAAATTGGATGAAATAAAATATGTGGTATTTATCTAAATGTGAATCTACCTAGATCTATCCATAAAGTATGTAAATCGACTTCAAACTAATATAAATAAGTCATCCGTTGGGCTATGTCTGTACTTCTAGAAAACGCAACTACGTTATTCTATGCTCAATTTTGTACGATGTGCAAAATTTGATGTCAATCTGACTAACATGTATAGGGACTTTGACAAGATATATAGGGACTTTGGGCACCATTTACATAAAATCGGACGAAACTATATATGGGAGATATATCTACATCAGGACCGATTTTCATCAGACTAGGCAGACATCATTCTAGGCTCAATTAAGTACGTTATAACAAATTTCGTGCAAATCGAAGGATATATAGAGACTTTGGTGCACCATTTACATGAAATCGGACGAAACTATATATGGGAGCTATAGCTAAATTTGGACCGATTTTTTCGAAAGTTGGCAGACATCATTCTAGGCTCAATTCAGTACGTTATGCCAAATTTCGTGCAAATCGAAAGATATATAGGGACTTTGGGGCACCATTTACATGAAATCGGACGAAACTATATATGGGAGCTATATCTAAATCTGGGCCGATTTTCACGAAACTTGGCAGACATCATTCTAGGCTCAATTCAGTACGTTATGCCAAATTTCGTGCAAATCGAAGGATATATAGGGACTTTGGGGCACCATTTACATGAAATCGGACGAAACTATATATGGGAGCTATATCTAAATTTGGACCGATTTTCTCGAAACTTGGCAGACATCATTCTAGGCTCAATTCAGTACGTTATGCCAAATTTCGTGCAAATAGAAAGATATATAGGGACTTTGGGGCACCATTTACATGAAATCGGACGAAACTATATATGGGAGCTATATCTAAATCTGGACCGATTTTCTCGAAACTTGGCAGACATCATTCTAGACCTAAATGATTAGGCTGTACCAAATGTCGTCCAAATCGAAAGATATATAGGGACCTTTTACATTAAATCGGTTAAATATATATATGGGAGCTATATCTAAATCTGAACCGATTTTTCCCAATTTCAATAGGGTTCGTCTTGGGCCGAATAAGTGACCAATGCCAAATTTCATCCAATTCGGATCATAAATGCGACCTGTACTTTGTTTACAATTTAACATGGACAGACAGACGGACATGCATAAATCGACTTAGAAATGATTCTATGCATATTCTCAAAAGGAACCATGGGTCTATCTCGATTATTTTTGCCTGTTACAAACATATGCACAAAGACATAATACCCTGTACCACAGTGTGGTGAAGGGTATAAAAATGACGATTTTTGAATACTATAAACGGTTTTATGCATATTTTTTAACTTAAAAACAACAAATAAAATGCCATTGGAATCCTTTTGATAAAAATGCATGATCAACCAAATATTACCACGGAATTTATAAAAGCAATAAAGAATATTTAAGACTAGTTTGAAAAAATATATTAAAATTATGGACAAAAACACAGCCAATTTTGCCTGATGAGCCGCTTAACCGCGAAAAACTCGAATAAAAATTATGGAAGGTAATAAAGCTACAAAAAATATTTTTTTTTAATTATTGTGAGCATGTTTTGAAGAACGAAATAAAGGAAATTTGACTCTTTAAGAATTTGGGGAGATAAATTATCGAAATTAAATAAAAACGCAATCAATGCAGTAAAATAATAAACTGCGAATTGATTTTATACAATCGCAGATTTCTTCCCATTTTTCGTTGTGTCTTTAACATCGTTCAATGCGGTTTGTTGAGGTCATTATACAAAAATGTCTTTTATTTGTAATCTGTTGTAGTTGTTGCACAAAATTACATCGAAACAATGCTGTTGTATGTTGCCGCCCTATTCCCAAACATTAATTTATTTTCTTTTAAGTACAAATCAGTATTACAGCGTATTCTTGATATTTCACATTTGTATTGTTATAAAGTTTAAATAACAATAAAATGTAACAATTTTTTTAAAAACAAATCAATAAATAAAATATTGATAAATATTATAAAATTAAATTTCAATGTGAGAACACACCTTACAACTTAAATTACAATAGGGCAAACGAATCTTTTTTCAACCAACATTTGCGAAAGTTAGAATCCGCTTCTCGCATTTTTTGCTTCTCCCTATTTACTCAGAATAAGGCGAAAATGTGAAAAATATTTCACAAGCGAGATATCTCCCTAGCGAATATCCAAAATAAGACTGAATTTTGCGACTAACTGGGTAAAAATCTGAAAAACAGATTTTCCACCATTGAAGAAAAATTTTGTAAATTTATGACCTACACTACTACAATCGAACCAATTCAGATCAGCGTGACAGCTGAAAATTTTTGAAAAATTATCACAGAAAAATTATCATCTCGTAAGAGAAATTAATAAAAAAATGACAGTTTGGGGGATTTTTAACCAAAATAGCCGATAACGATTGCTTCTTACACGACCTTGTTCCGGACTATATCTTTCCGAAGTAAACATATATGTAAGTCATTCACACTAAAGCCCATTTGAAATATTGCCGTGTCAAATTCCATGGTCTCTTGGTAATAATTCTTTCAACACATTTTTTTAATCTCTCTTGAATATCAGTCTTCAGAAAATGAAAATTTTCTCAATAGTGAGATTTCTTCCTAGCGATGAAGATTATATACCCAACATATCTAAATCGTCAATTACATTTCATATATGTCAAATAAATCCTCATAGACGAGGTTAACCCGACAAAAAGTTCTAATGTAAATTCCGTTTTACAGATTTTGTACCGATAACTGTTCTATAAGTATTAAACTTTTTGGGGATACTAACAATTAAAACTTTAACCGATCGGTCCTTCAAATTTGACTGAAAAACAGGCTGTCGTTTATGACGTATTATTAGCTGTGTCTAGTTACTTTTCCAGCAACATTTACTCAGTAAGTTGTATTTCAGAGAGTAAACCTTTTGCATGAATATTGAGAAAAGTAAACAGACAACATTCAGCTAATAATCTACAAATTCCCGAATTATCTTCCATTAAATTGTACTTCTTCTGGCACATTATTTTTGTCTATGGGCATAAAACAACTGATTCAAAAATTACAGTGTTTGCAAAATTTTACTGCATAAAATTATTTTAGTAAACTCCGGTATGTTTCAAGGCCTATGTAAGTTTTTTGTTGTTGAACTATCAAACTTTCTCTATGACTTAAGGGCTAAACAAAATGTTCGCGTTGAGCGTTTTTTGTTATCGCGTTAACGCACGCAAAAAGTTAAAATATATTTAACTCCGAAGCGCAACGCACAACAACTTCAAGCGTTTGTGTTATCGTTTCCTTGTGGTTGTAGTATTTTCGATAACATATAAACTTTTCGATTTTTGGGTAAACAGACAATATTTAGTAACAATTACTACCAAATATCGAATAAACAGACAACTTTTATGAAGTAAACGTCCTTTTTTAAAAATATGGCATCCTTCAATTGTCATTAATTCGATGTGTAGTCAATGCACTTTATTCACTTATTTTCTCATCTATCGATCATACATGTTATCGATAGTTTATGCTCTTGCAAAAATTGGCGGCAGCAGAGCATTAGTTTGGGATCAGTAAACAAACGGAATATTGTAAACAAATCAATTGAAAAAAAACATCTAATAAAAGATTAAATAATAATAAAAATGCCTGATGATAGTGAAGAAATATTGAAAACGAGGAAATTTCTCAAAGAACGTTTACAGAGGGATTACAGCACTTTTCGTGGCCATGAAAATGAACGGGATAATATCAGACAATTGCTGCAAAGGACCGCCGAAATGGGTGAATCGAATTCGATGTTGTTGATAGGACCACGAGGATCAGGAAAGACAACAGTAAGTTGATGGCATTTTCTAACAATTGAATATATACATTTAAATAATTATTCATTTAATTTAGCTTGTCAATGCTGTCCTGACGGATTTAATGAAAAACAAGGACTTCATTCAAAACACATTAATTGTCCATCTAAATGGTAATCTACATACAGATGATCGCCTGGCCCTGAAATCTGTTACGGTACAAATGCAATTGGAAAATGCCACCGATGGCAAGGTATTCGGTTCATTCGCCGAAAATTTGGCATTTTTACTTGCCTGCTTGAAGGCGGGAAATAAACGCTCGAAAAGTGTAGTATTTATATTGGACGAATTCGATTTATTCTGTGCACATCACAATCAAACTCTTCTCTATAATCTCTTTGACGTATCACAAAGTGCCCAGGCACCGATTTGTGTTCTGGGTGTAACCTGTCGTTTAGATGTTATTGAACTATTGGAGAAACGTGTAAAATCTCGATTTTCACATCGCCAAGTATTTATATTTCCAAATGCTGAAGATTTTGATGAATATGTTAAGCTGTTTGCTGAACTTTTAACCATACCCAGTGACAAACAATTAAAAGAATTAGCCGATCGAGTTGGCGCACTCAAACATTTACATTCCAGTGAATTGACCTTTCATCGCAGTCATTTTCAACCCTCCAATTATAAATTTAATAAGAAATATGTGGAGACATGGAACAAACATATTGCAGAGTTAATAAAAACCCCCTCAGTGGTTAAATCCCTACAGGCCCTATTCGATTTTGATGTTAGTCAAGCATTTCTCAAAACGTTCATTTTCCGTTTGGTGTGTCAAATGCAAACAAACCATCGGATTGAGGAACAAATTACAGCCGAACATATTGCCCAGTTAACTGCCACCTATGAAATGGATGAAAAAGTTGAATTATTATGTGGCCTATCTGTATTGGAGCTATGTCTGGTCATTGCCATGAAACATCATTCGGAAATCTATGATCGTGATCCATTCAATTTTGAAATAATATTTTCACGTTTTAATAAATTCGCCAAAGTGTCATCGACCATGCAGGGTATTGAACGGCCGGTGGCATTAAAGGCATTTGAACATTTACGCAATATGGAAATTTTATTACCCCTGACGGCCACAACATGTAAAGTGCAGAAAGAATTTGAAATGCATAAAATGGTCTTAACATATGGACAAATTAATCAGGCGGTACAACGTTATCAGGCTCTGCCTACCGAAGTGCATCAATGGTCGCAGAGTTCATTAATTTGAGGGACCGTTATTTGATCGTTATTTGGGTCCATTGTTATATGTATTAAGTTATTTATTATTTGAGAAAATAAAGAAAACGAAATGAAATAAATTTACAAATGATATAAGAAAACATAAATCTATTATTTTGGTTTATAAAATTGGGGATAAAATGTTGTCAGAGATAAATTTGAGGCTTTATTTAAAGAATATTTTCTAGGACTATTTTTTTAGAGGTGTTCAAGGGGAGATTTAAAGAATATTGCTTTTAGAGATATCGGATCGTGGATCTTTTAAATAATATTTTTCAAGGAGTATATGTGTTTTTAGAAAATATTTTTTCAAGGATATCAGAGCCAAAGTCTAGATTTTTTTAAGAATATTTTATAAGGACTACCGGAATTATAAGTATAATTTGTTTAATGAATATTTTTCAAGCAATATCGGAGCATTAAGTGAGGATTTTGTAAAGAAAAATTTTTCAAGGTGTATCGGAACTATATTCGTGGATTTTATGAAAACTATTTGTTCAAAGAACATCGAAACAAGAATATTTGACAATCTCGGAGCCAAAATTATAGGTATTTGTTGCAGGACTTTTTAATGCCATAAGCGTCGATTTTTCTGAAGAATATCTTTATACTCTCAGGTTATGGCTAATGAGGGTATGTATATAGACTTTGATACGGCAAAATTGTGCCTCATCGAAATATTGGTTTTAGACACCATGTTTCTTTGGCCCAAATCCGTTTCAGACAATTTGGAGTCGATTGGCAAATGTCCTTCGGCTGGTGCACACGATAACACTCAAAGGGAGTAATCGATTTCATCAAAACTTTTCATATTGTAATAAAATCTAGTTCAAGTTGATAGATGGTCAAGTTCGATCGGTCCACTCCTTCTGGTACCTGCCCCACAAAATGGTCAAAATTGTGCTAGAAATTAATTTTATATCATGGGAACGGACTATGCAATTTGAACCAAAACTTTGAACAACCTATTGTCTTTACCAAGCCCAGATCCAGTCTGAAGACGGGAAAAATATTCAATATTTATAAATCAAACATCAAGCGAATAGATTGTCCGATTTGAACCAAATATTACACAACCTGAATGCTAACAGACTCTTCCACAGATTGCGGATAATGGGAAGCCCAATATTATTTCTTGGGTAACTGTGATTATCAAATAAACAATCGCTGGCAATCAGCGGGTCCGGGGGAGAGACTCGAAGGAAATGACCTAGTGCCTATGATCCCAGGACAGACGAGGCGATAATATCAAATATCCAATTCCAAGGTTTTAGGCCACTACCTTCCCAAGTGACTTTCCTAACGCTGGGGTGTTAGGAGACCTCGTACACATCAGTGTTTAGGTTTGTAGTCAGCGTCCCGACTGTATTAAACGGAGCCTTGTTGATACCTGGGTGCCTCAGGCTTAGTTGCCGAACCTTTGCCTTAATAAGAAGCTATGCCATGGCCGACCTGAAATCCTCACAAAATCTAACTTCTTTAGAGCTCACAAAATCTAACTTCTTTAGAGCCGAACCGGAGAACGGTTAATTACTCCAATCTCTTTATCGGACGGGATAGTGACTCGATAACGGATAAGGAGTTCCTTCTAATTATGTGGAATCCCAAATTCATCCGAAAGTTCTCTGGAACTATCCGAATGATATTGCCAGGGTCTTCTTAATTGATAGAATTCCTACACCATGTGTGGTAGCCCCTTTAAAAGAGGAGAAGACTGTGAGTGGCTCGAGCACAACTAAGACAATGATGGCTAGGACTTCTAAGCCTTCAGCACCCCCAAGGAAAACCTCAGCCGCAAGAAATCCCTGACACCATCATCCACGAAACTGAGGGTAAGGGATTCGAAGTCAGCCCCGAGGGGAGCACGTTAAGAGACCTCCAGGAAAGCTGATAAGGCACAACCTTCGTCTGTAAATCCACCCACTGCCGAAATGTCGAAACCGAAATCCAAGGTCATGACAATTTGGCAGGTGGCGCACACGAAACAGGAGCTCGCGACAGCTAGGTCAACCTCTGCGGCAGTTGCAACTTCGAAAGCCAAATCTCGCATGAGGTCCTCGGATGAACAACAACCTGCTTCAGGGCTATAAACCTGAATATTAAAAAAAACACTCAGGTCCATTGAAGTAAACTTTTAAATAATATCTGCAAGGTCAGAGTTAATAAATTGGTATTTTAAATAATTTTTGGAAGAAGAATATTTTTGAAAGTCTACATCACACAGGGCAACCGGGGATTTTAAATTGCACTTCCGGACATTTCAGGATATTTGAAACATTTGCAGATTTGTACATTAACAGGATGAAGTTTTGATACAGTTCACAGCTGATAAAAAAATGACTTTCTCTCATGTAGCTATGATTTTAAAATTTCTAATTGAAATTTAAAATTAACATCCAACATGTTATCAACATATAAGAACTTATGTTGGTAATTAAGGATGTTTTCAAATCAATATCGATGTATTATTTTTATAGATAAATCATACCTAAAGTAAATACTACAAAATAAACGAATTTACACATTTTTAAACATAATCAAATTATCTTTAAAATAAATCTCGTTTGGTTCAATTTGGACCATTTTTTGGGAGTTCAAGAGATTAAAAAATAAAATTTGAATATTTAAAAACGTGGTACGAAAATTTCAGGATAACACAAATAACTTACCTCCTATTTTGTTAGTCATATTCGCAATCCATGATCATTATTCCTAGAAAACTACTCAAGAGTTTCTTCTACCAAAATACTCAGTACTGCGTTGTTAAGAACAAAATATAATTTATTCGTTTCTATAAAAAACAAAACAATTATTTCACATTAAATAAAGCCCATGTTAAAATTATCCAAAACATAAAATTAAAAGAATTCAGAGCTACTAAAAATAAAATATATCAAATTCATATACGTACAAAAACATCTAAGGACGAGAAATTAAAAGAAAAACAAATACCAATTCAATTGTTAGAATACAATCCTGTGCATCGTCCTAATGCGATCGCTTCCATTCAATGTATTGCTGTTCCCATGGCGCCTCACGACGTCGCTGACGACAAAATGTTGAACATTTGGTACTGCCACATCTGTCGCAGGGATACCAGCATCCCTCACAGCCATCGTATAAACAATCGCAAGGATCGATATCTTTTTTATTCGCCACCGACCATTCATAGTCGCTTTCTTTTGTATTTGGAACGGTCATTTTCTTACGACGTCCACGCACTTTAGTTTTTGCTGTTGAATCGCTCATGGTATGGAAACGAAAATGGGAGCTTCTTGATTAAATAAAAAATGTAAACAGATTCACAAAATGAAATTCAAACGAATTTTTCTCCAAGGCACGCCAAGTTTTTTGTTATTGTTTAGAAAAAAGTCCGTTATGGGACAAGGGTTGCCAAGCTTCGATAATTAAAAAAATACTAATATAAAATCGATAACGATTACAACGATTAAATTACAATGAGTTGAATTTAAATATGTGCGCTTTTGAACGACCGCACTATACTAGATTTTACTATTTTCTTCGACATCATAATGAAAAATTCGTTATCGTAGTAAAAAATAGAAGATTCTTGCAGTACGGAAACAGACCAAAAAAGTACATTTCAGGTAGAGAGGAAAAACGTAGTATTAACTTGAAATGGCGGTCAATTAAACGAATAGAACTGGCAATTAAATGGTCTGTTCCCGTACTGCAAGAATCTACTACTTTTTACTACGATAACAAATTTTCCTTTATGATATCGAAGAAAATAGTAAAATCTAGTAGATTCTTGCAGTACGGGAACAGACCAAAAATGAAAGTGAACATTTTTAGGAATTAGAAGATAATAATCAAAAAGTTATATAAAACGCATAAATACGATTTTTTTAAATTAATTTCAGAACCTAGTGCCAAGCAGTGCCTCCCAATTTGAGTTTTTTTTTTAGGGATTTTGAACGTGTTTTCAACTAAATTGCCTGTAACTTAGTGTTTTGAATTATCATTGGGTGTAAGATTCGTTAACCCCACTGGGTTAACGAAATCCGGTTAAATTTATAGTACGTTTACATTTATCCGGATTTCGTTAACCCAGTGGGTTTCAATTGTCAATTCCTTTGCATATATGTCAAATAAATCCTCATAAAGTAGGTTAACCCGGTGAAAAAGTTCTAGTGTACATGCCGTTTTAAACTACTATAGGTCCCATATAAATGGAACTCATTATTTGGTATTTTGGAGACTATAATCACGTTTTTAAAACAAATCGGCTATACCTTAAATTTAATGAAGATATGTCGTTGTTGTTTTATATCCATAATACAAAAGCCAACGATCTCATGTCATTTTGATATTGATAAACGAGAGATCTTTATGGTTGATACGGAGTGAAAGCACGAATTATTCGATCATTGTGCATTTACACACTTAAGGGCTAAGCAGAATGCTCGCGTTGAGCCGTTGTGTTCTCCGTTATGTTATGTGTTATCGAAAATACAACAACCACAAGGAAACGATAGCACAAACGCTCGAAGTTGATGTGCGCTGCGCTTCGGAGTTAAATATATTTTAACTTTTGGCGTGCGTTAACCCTATAACAAAAAACGCTTAGCCCTTAAGGGCTAAACAGAATGTTCGCGTTGAGCGTTTTTTGTTATCGCGTTAACGCACGCAAAAAGTTAAAATATTTTTAACTCCGAAGCGCAGCGCACATCAAACTCAGGCGTTGGTGTTATCGTTTCCTTGTGGTTGTTGTATTTTCGATAACACATAACGCAACGGATGGCTCAACGCGAGCATTCTGCTTAGCGCTTTAATGCTATGCTGGATCATCGGCAAGCGTCGTCATAACCACCACTTCCTTCTTGCGATGAACGTCACCCTTGTCCACGGGCTTCATTTTCCCGGTCGCACCTTCAGGATTTATAGCCGCAATCTTCTTGGCCTTTGCTTACATACCCAATTGTCCGCTCATCGCCATTATCCGACTGTTTCATCTTCATCTCTGCCACACAATTACCAATTGGTGGCTCACACTTCTCAGACATTATTTCCTGATTGGCTTCTCCCAGCAATATCTTCCAATTTTTTTAAGTAGTTCCCACTTCGCTATTTCGTATTGATGATTTACCTCTTTAATTTTCTCCAGAATATCTCTATTCTTCGGATAGTACATCAAAATATGAAGCCACGCGCCTGTTAAAATTGAATGGTGGCTCTTCCAGTCGTCCACCAAACACTCCAACAAATCCGCATTAGTTTCGAAGGTTAATTCATTGAGAGTTCTTTCAAATTGAATTGAATTTTTACTTTTTACTAGCAAAATCGTAATCAGCGTCTCCGAAACCCTTATATGTGATATTTATTCCATAATCCCTCTGCTCTAATTATGACTAAAATTATATACAGCTTATTTGTCAGCTTTTATTTGTTTACGTATACATACACGTTTCTATCGGTTCGTAATTTCTGTGGCAATTTTTCAATCAACATTTTCATAATTTTAATAGGATTTACTATCAACAATGCTTGACAAATGGTCTGTTCCCGTACTGCAAGAATCTACTAGATTTTACTATTTTCTTCGATATCATAAAGGAAAATTCGTTATTGAAGTAAAAAGTAGTAGATTCTTGCAGTACGGGAACAGACCAAAAATATGCCGTTTTATATTGTAGTAATATTTGGTCTATTCCCGTACTGCAAGAATCTACTCGATTTTACTATTTTCTTTGATATCATATAGGAACAAGTGAAAAAGCGTTAAGTTCGGCCGGGCCGAACTTTGAATACCCTCCACCATAGATATACTGATAGGTACTTGAAATGAAAATATAGGGAATGTAAACCATAATACAAATTTCAAAATGGATAAATTACCCTCAACCTTAAACGGCATATACATTAGAACTTTTTACCGGGTTAACCTACTTTATGAGGATTTATTTGACATATATCCAAAGGAATTGACAATTGAAACCCTCTGCGTTAACGAAATCCGGTTTAATGTAAACGTACTATTATGGCTAATGAGAGTGTATACACTTTGACACGGTGAAAATGTGCCTCATCGAAATATATTTGTTTTAGACACCATGTTTCTTTGGACAAAATCCGTTTCAGAAAATTTAGTTTTCATCCAAACTTTGCCCATCTTACTATTTCTTCCAAATTTAGTTCCATTTCGAATGTGGGGAATACCGGTCCATTCCTTCTGGTACCTCCCACACAGGGGCTAGGTCTAAATGCGGGTTATAGTTCATTATCGAACCTTACGTTCTAGTTTTTATCTCGAGGTCCTCCGCAGGTGAAAATATTACAACAGAGTCTTAGAACCAAACCCAAAACACAGAACAAATTAGGTAACGATTTTAATATAAAAAACGGGGTTATATGGGGACTAGCCCAAAAAGGGGGCGAATATTAATAATTTTTGGTGGAGAGATTTGTTACCATATACGACTACATAATACCAAATTGCAGCGAATTCGGTTGAAAAATGCGCTCAAGAACACCAAAATACCGAAAATTGGGGGTACCCTTATATGGGGGTTACCCGAAAAAATGAACCTATGTTTAGGCCCAATAAGAACCCAAAGTACCAAATTTCAGCGAATTCGGCTAAAAAACTCGCTCAGGAACCCAAAAATACCGCAATTTGGCGGGTATCCTTATATGGGAGCTATGCCTAAACGTGGTACGATATATCCCATCTTCGAACTTGACTTGCCTGCAGACAAAAGACAACCCTATGCAAAATTTCAGAACCCTATCTCAATTCCTTCAGAAGATAGCGTGATTACAACAGACGGACGGACATGGCTAGATCGTCTTAGAATTTTACCCTGATCAAGAATATATATGGGCAATATTGCCAATTTTTTAACATAGCTGAAGCGGAGGTTCACCCCTTTATATATCGGGAATTACTTCAGTATATGAATAAAAGTGAATAGTTTTGGGTTAATTGATCTGTCGTTGCAAACTGTTCATGATATTGACCTCCAAACTTTATTTTGGTGGAAGCTGTGTCTACTTTAATGTAAAAAAATGTGTAAAAACAGGTTGAGGCGAACCAGTTTTTTTATGTTCTCTATCGATTTGTGACTAAGCCACTCATTTCACGGTCTTCGTGTCAAAGTAAAACTAGAAGCCAACAAAATGGGGACTACGCCACTTATGTATCATTTTTTAAAATTTTAACTGCATCTACCTTTAAATGATGCTGACATTTTGAAGCTCGATTTTGAGTGTTTTCTTAATTTTACTTCTAGCTTTAATATGCAAACAGGAATTTATAAAAACCGATTATAAGATTATTGTAGTCGCGAATCTGCGTAATTTGATATGTATTTTGTGTATGTAGTATGCACAGCTTTAGAGTAATACTCATTTTTTAGATCTGTCAACTGAATGATATGGGTACCCGCGATCAATAAGGTTTTTTACGTTTCGGATGATATAAAATCTTTTTCGTGAAAATCCATCTACTAGAACGGCGGATTTGAAAATATCGCGGATTTAATTGCATTTTCCGTAGATCATTTCCGCTTCAATAAATGACCTCATACGGATTTTGATCTTTTTCGAAGATAACTTTAAAAACTTCAGCCGAAAGAGAGATGTACTCAATTTATCTCAAAAATAGTGTGAGGTGGCACATCCATGGTTCTTAATGGACCACATTGAAATCGGCATATATCGATGTATTTTTTTAGGGTGCACACCGAAATCGGATGCGCGTTAATGGCATATGGAGTTTTCGGAAATTATTCGCGTTTTACGATTTTTTGGGTACTTCAATGCAACGTGTGGCACATCTTAGCCGCCAAATGAAATTTCGCAAAATATATATGGATTGGAAGATAAACTTCATTACTTCCTGGAAACCGCATGCGCATCAAACGATTTTGAGAATTACGCGATATATACGCAATTTAAAATGTATATTTTATAGTATAGTTTTGTTGTAAGATATATTCCTATTTATAGAACTCCAAGATTTATCGGAAGGGTCTTGATATAATCCGCAAGGCGTATACTTATGCACAAAAAGTGATTATTTTTATATACATATGTAAAATTTTCGGCGAAATTCGGGTAAAATAGCAGAATAAATCCAACATTTTTTTTCTGAAATTTCTTGTATAAAATTAAAAAAAATAAATATGATGACATTATTTTTTCGAACCAAAAACAAATATTTTTCCTCAATATCTTGTTTTGTTGACGCTGATTTTGATATCATTTGATTCATCATGGTGTTTAGATTACTTGATTGCGAACGGTTTCGGAGTTAGAAAATTTTTCGTGTACCAAAATCATTGATGTGCCACAAAAACAAAAAAGCTGATTTTTTGAAAATGGAATATTAAAAAATTGGCAATATTGCCCATATACTTTATAGGGTCGGAAATGAATATTTCGATGAGTTACAAACGGAATGACAAAATTAATATACCCTCCATACTATGGTGGAGGGTATAAAAACACAGCCAAAACACAATAATTTAATAGATTTATGAAAATTATGATTAAAAAATTGCGAAATAAATTATGGAATCAGTGAAATGTGTATGTATACGTAAACAGTAACAGCTGACACATCAACTTCATGTCACTTTAAAACTAGTATTAACAGCTGGGATTTGGTACCTCAATTAACAAGTCTAAACGCGCCTTTATCTTGATTACAACTGACAAACGGATATTACTTACTTACATACTTAGCGGGTTTGTGACAGAACTTTCGTTCCATAAGCCGAGCTTAAAAAAGATTTCCAGGCGCGTAGATTTTTTCTCTCAAACACTCAAGAGCTGCCTCATCTACTTGCGCAAGTACCCATGCTTCAGATCCATATAACAGCACGGGTAGTATCAGCTTATTGTAGAGTGTGAGTTTGGCCTGGCGGGAGTTGTGAGTTGTTTGCTCAGACCATATTAGCATCGGTTGGCCATCACTATCCTCCTCGAACGGTTATAGTTTTAGAATTCTCTCCTGATCAATGCACCTCTGCCCAATTAAACATTCCATTACCGTTTACAAAACTTTAAAGGCTTTTGTATTTGTTCACCATAAGGACTTCATTCGCTGGTTTTAACGTTTGATCAGTTTCCGTACTGCAAGAAGAAAGGGAGAGAGGAGAAACGTATTTTCAGAAAAAAGAACAAGAAAAACGTGAGCGGGAGGAAATCGAGATGTACAGGAGTCAGAATGAAGTCCGGAAATTTTAGCAACGAGTAAAACACCAAACCGAAGGCTTTGTGCAGGCACATCCTCCTGTAGAGATGAAGATGGAAAACTGGTGACAGATACAGATAGCGTGCTGAGGATCTGGAAGGAGCATTTTGAAAAGCTTCTGGTATCAAATAGTGGCGGTGAAGAAAATTACCCAGAACCAATAAGAGATGACGGTATATAGAGTATACCACCTAGCCAAGATGAGGTCAGAATATCAATTGATCGGCTGAAGAACAATAAAGCAGCAGGTGCCGATGGATTACCACCCGAACTATTCAAAACCGGTGGTCAGATGATGTTGCTGTGTGAACGACTGAAACCAATGACATTATTTGACCGTACAAATGTGCCAGAATCTAGAAAAAAACCACGAAAAACCAATCGACACATTCCACCTATTCGTCGACTATAAATCCGCATTCGACAGCCGTTCAGAGGTATTTAAAGCCATGTCTGCGTTTGGCATTCCCGCAAAATTAATATGGATATGCAGGATAAAGTCGGAAAGGACCTCTCGGAGCATTTCAATACCGAACGAGGATTCAGACAAGGTGACAGGTTGTCGTGTGACCTGTTAAACATCCTTCTTGAAATGACGCCTACGCCGATGACATCGACATCATGGGTCGAATATTACGAGCGGTAACAGCCACCTTTGAACGAATTGTGAAGGAGTCTGCCAAAGTGGGACTGGCAGTAAATGGCGAAAAGACCAATCTCATGGTATCAACGCGCAAGGCGTCCAGCAGACTCGGACCAACTGTTGAACAAGAGAACAACAGCTTCAAGGTAGTGAACGATTTTATA